GCACAATTTTTTCACCTTCAACTCATTGCCTTATTAGTTGTTATTGTTGAATGTATATTTTTTTGTTCTTGCTAATTTTTTTCGCACTCCTTATTCATTAGCAAAATGCATCTAAGAAAAATTAAGTAAAATACTTACATACGTATATAGTAATTATTGCCTATGGATGATTCATCACACTGTTGTCTTTTGAATGGCTTCTATTATTTGCACAATCATTGCGTTGTTGTTCTCTTCTGCTTTGCTGCTACTTATCAGCGCATTTTATTTCTAATTTTTGTTTTATCGTTTACTCTTCTTTTTCAACAATGTGGCCCTAGCAACAGGCTAAAATTATTATTTTTTTTAATTTCATCGTATTTTTTCTTTCTTTCACTGAACGGTTGATTTTTTTATTCGAGTTAATTTATTTGCAATTGGAATTAATACAGGCGAGTTGGTGTTGGTCTAGTAACTAATCGCCGTTCCGCTGCTTGCACTTTATACCCCTAAACCAGCCAGAGCAGTGTTGTCCAACCGGTAGTTCGCGGGCACCTAGTAGCTCGGGACCTGTATTTTAGGCACCCAAACCACAAGATAGACAGAATACTCTGTACCGAACTACGCCATTCCCGGTTGTAAGTGCGAAAGTGCAAATTTCAGTTCTGAAAATATATTGAAAATGTGCTGATATAAGGCGTTTCTAACCGAATTCTGAGATAGGGCGTTCTTCGATCAAATTCTACTGTAGGGCGTTCTTCAATCAAATGCTGAAATATGGAGTTCTAAAAAAGTTTTCTGTGTTAGGGCGTTTTCGAACTGGCTGCCGAGATAGATCGATCTTCCCCTCAGGTGTCAAAATGTTCTTTATGGAACCAGTGTTATCCTTTTCCAAAAAATTGATTTATGAATCGTAATGTAGACACGGCTTTATCAATTAAGAGCAACAGTTGTTGTCACAAAAGAACGAATGTTCTTTAGTTATGCACATTCTTTTATTTTAGCTAGCTGTGACTGGATCCATTTGAAATCATGCAATCAATAAAATATGTTTTTCTGATTGAAAAATAAATGAATACGTATTTTTTTAATTTTATTTTTTTTTTGTATAAAATCGTAATATTGTTATCGTTTATCAACATTTTTCACATTTGTTGATCAATTTTAAAAAAGTACAAAAAATGCGGTACATTAACCTTTACAGCAGCCGAATATCTTAAAAATTAAGGAAACTACAAGATTTTAAAAACATTTTTACAAAATAATATTTTTTTTTGACAAATTCTTAAAAAATTCGTAAAAAATGCAAAGCAATGCTTTGAAAATTAAAACAAAAATACGTGTTCATTTAATTTTCAAGCAGAAAAGCATATTTTATTCTGAAGTTAATTATCAATATACCATCGGACTGCCTGCATAATTTGAAATGGATCCAGACCTGTATGAATTTTATTAATAAATAAACATTTTTATAGGGATCAATTAAAATTGAAGCTAATCTAGGCGGTGCCCACATAGCATAGCAATAGTTTCAAAGTAACTTTCGGTGCGGACTCGGTTGGACACCACATGTGCTGCATCATTCTTCTGGATGTTTTACTTAATTTGATTCTTTTATTTATTTTTGTGTGGTTTTATAGAGTAATACCAATGCCAAACACTTACCTACTATGTATTTTCTCTTTAAGTATTATTACGAGTAATTTATTTATTTTATTAGCAACGTACCTATTGTACATTCATATGTACACCATTTGGAGCAACCGATAAGAATGTACACATTCATGGGTCTAAATAAATGAACATAGCAAATACATCCACATTATTTTTACATACTATGATGTACCTACATGTTTGTGTACACACATTGTAAATATGTAATTAACATTTTATCAGCTGAAGCAACAAGTGCAGGACGGACAACAGCTGTAACTCTGCTTATACTTATTTAAATGGCTAGACGTGCATATGTTTATGCATACTTATGTATGTATGTATGCTTCTATTTGGTTATACAAAGCACATGTCTTTTAGCAAACAAAAAGTAGGCAAATAAAACTGACTTTAATTGTTGGCGGCGGCAGTTGGGTATTTTTTATTATACATACATTAGCTCATTTATTTTCGCTGTTGTACTATTTATATACATTGATCTCGTAACGCCTCCATAGCTATATATAGTTGATTTTTGCAGTAATAACTGTAGTGTGAATGCAAAGCTAATGACTAAATTATTATAAGTATATGTTCAGATAAACATATTGTGCTAAAAATACAGCTTACATATATGTATGTATGCAAAGTATTGGACATATCTATAGCAATCCCATTTCCAAGTGATATTGTTTGCCACTTATGTTTAATTAAATGCTAGTTTTCAACTAGGTTGCGCAAGTTAGACTTTTTCTTCTAAGCGCGGTTTAGAAATAAAAGAGACTGATGCTTTGTATTTTGACACAAAACCGGAAACTGATTAGACTAGGCCCATAAGTGCCGTGTTACACGGTCGCCTATTTGTCAATCGGATCGTGTGAAACGGCACATGGTCTCTGCTGTTGTTGTTGTTGTTGTAACAGCATACAAATTCCCCAAAGAGATTTTGGGGAGTGTTGCCGGAGTGACAGTCCTTGGCCAGATATAAATCTGGGTCGTTCCGGTTACGTAGACCCGACTGTCGTGGGAACGGCACACAGTCTCTTTTCCCACCTCCTTATCTATGCCTGTGCCATCGCACAACCAAATTATGCATATGCCTTTTTCCAAACCTTATGCATACTTATATACTTATGTACATATACTAACCCAATGTTGTTGAAATAGCATAAAAATCCCCTAAAGAGTTTTTGGGGAATGTTGCTGAAGTGAGAGTCCTTAGCCCTTAGCCAGATATATGTAAATCCCAATACTCATCGATTTTTATGTGAATGTTGTTAAAAATATTTGTATTGCACAATAAAAAAAAAAAATATATTCGTCTATATCTTTCTCATTTCAGAATAAAAAGCACCTTATATAAGTGTGGAATAATTCCGAAGCGAATTCAGTTCCATAACACTCAAATGAAAGCCAAAATGGATTACTAAATGCAGTTGAAGTCAATCAACAGCAACAGGAGCAGCAGCAGCAGCAGCAGCAGTCCACAGCATTGCATTGCGCAATAGTCACGTCCACATAACATACAGACACACATACACACATACGCAGAACGACGACGACGAGCACCCTATAACCCCTCCAAATCGGCCAACGAGTTAAGATCAGCAGATACCATAACTTATGTTGCAAAAAACCAACTTCTAAAATAAAAAAAAACTCCCAATAGACCTAAACCTAATTTACATTTAAAAACAAAATACATACATACCAACACGACTGCAAGAAGTCGTCGAGAACAACAAATTCGTAAATTAAAGAACATTATTTGGCCTAAACTGCATAAATAGAAGAAATTCAACTTAAGAAAATCAGTAATTCTGAACAGAGTTACATAAGTTGCATACAATTGTTTAAACAAAAAACGATTACACTGTGAATAGCAGCAGCAAGCAACTGCTGCCGAAGACAACAACCGAGAGCAGTGAAAATTGACCTAAACATCACATTAACAACAACAACAACAATCGTCGATAAGCCGATGTTACAATAATGCAATGCCTAATTATCAAGTAGCAAATGCAAGCAAATTAAAAACGTAACAACAACGGTCCCGCCCCCGTATCATCAAGAAGGAGGAGCGCCCGTAGATAAACACAAATTCAATATGCTTTGAATATAATTTGGAAAGAGGTTGAACTCAAAAACCAAAACACAACTATCAATTTTTTTTGTTCACATTTCGCTACAAGCATTTTAACAATTTTTGTCAACACTAATTTTTGGTCCAATTACAAACCCTATTCGGCAAAGACACATCGTAAAAATATAAATGCAATTGATAAAAAACTATCAACCGAAAAAGTAAACAAGTAATATTAATCAGTACTAAAAAAACAGGCGCGTTTTGTTAGTAGAACAAAAAGTATTGTTCGCATCAGCAGTAAAGGAATTTATGAATGAACACCATTTCAAACCAAAGAATTTAAAGCAAAACAAAAACTCCCGTAGAAGTAGATTAATAAATAACAAATCCAAGTAAATAAATAAATAATCTACGGAACGCAAGAACAGTTTGTCCTTCCGCAACTACATACATACATATATACATGCATATGTATATAGTACATGTTTAATGTATATCTAGAGAAAAGTCGCCTAAATATGTTTGTTGCAACACTTTCTGATGAGTCCATGGCATTGTCGCAAAAAATGCAGCAACAAGAAAAGCTAAATTTCAAAAACATGTTGTACGCACCCTTGCACATTGCTATCGCTGAATCGAATGTTGCCACGAAAAATGCTTAAATTCTACAAAGTAAATTGCGTTCATTACAACAACCGTAACGACAACTACCGACGATTACAGCGTATCATTGCGCAAACGACTGGCTTAGAGAGGAACAACCACTGGCAGAAGAAGAAGAATAACCACAGCAGCAGCACATCGAGGCGATCACAGTGTTGTTAGCAGCAGCGGCAGCAGTGATAGGGTCAACGCCGCACGGCTACGGGCACCATCAACAGCTCAAATGCAGGTTGTCGTCGTCGCCTTGTGGTGGCCAGTGATTGTTGCTTTAGTAGCCGCCATTGTTCGTAAATTATCAGCGCTTGGCTATGCAAAAGAGCTGTCTTAATTTCTATGAAATCGACAGTGCAAAAAAAAAGTGTCATCGATTTACGAAACCGCACCACAACAACGACAGCAGCAAGTGGTATATAACTACTATAATTGCAACTATTGCGGCGACAGCATCATCAACGCCAACAGTAACAATAACGTTCGTTCGTTTTATCACTGATCCACCTGCATGTCATGCGGTTGCTTTGATCAGTTCCTCTTGGATTACTAAGTGAAAAGTAATAGGTATGAGCATGAGTTAGTTACGTTTTTCAGTTATATCTTGTATCTTGCTAATACTATATTAATATATGTGTGTGTGCAGTCTTTCAATATTAGTAAATTTACATAAAGGCTTTACTAACTTAGCTGTGCTAGTTTGGTTCTATAACTAATAAACGTATTTATATTATTATACATTACTTTGTAATACTCGATATGTTTGTACACATATGTATGTAGTATATCTAAGCTACTACTGTTTACCAACGCTAGGGTCCAATGCCATTTAATTAAGTTTTTTTTTGTTTTTCCAAATTTATTAACATTCGTTTTTTTATTTTCCATTTTACTTACATACATATATTGCTTATACTTAATAAGTATGTAGTCGCATAAGTTTGTTGAATTGATAAATGGGTTTTGCTTTTCTTCTGCGCTTGAGCATATCGAATTAAAGCAAAATCCCAATCTTATACGTTTCCATTAAAATTCATTTCGTTATAAGCTTTTACTTAAGTTTCAATCGTTCGATTGTTAAGTGAATTGAGAAGTTTGGTTTTATTAAAAATAAAAATGTATGAACAAAATAGCAGTGGACCTCAACGTGCACCACAAATACACAGAGCTAGTATATTTGCCTACCCAGTCGGCAAAATTAGAAATATTTCTGATCTTTTAGATAGGCGATAGGCCTTCCGTGCTCGATTTTATCTGTTTTGTATGAAAGATGTAGATTTGATTTCGGTTGCTTTGCAAACAAATCTTTTCGACAGTCTATGAATAAAAAGGCTATTGGAAGATTGAGGAAGTGGAACTCTTATTAAAACGCATTGCCTGAAAGCACTCCTTATTTTGCCGACTGGGAAAGCACGTATATGCTTACATACATATGGATGTGTTTAGGTTTAATTAATACAGTCAATGATAAAAAATAGTATCTTGGCTCGAGCTGCTATAAACGGTTGTTTGCAATTGTGCAAAGTTCTTTGTTTGCTGTGAAGTGATTAGAAAAAATGTTTTTGGTTTTTCTTTGGTAGTCGCGATCAGTCGAATAGTCCATTATTCCACCCGGCTTAACCGCCATACACTTGGTTCATTGTTTGCATTTTGTTTTCTTTTTAATGATCTTGCATGTTATAGTCACCATGATTGGTTTAAAGTACTGCATTCACTCTGTATGAGGGTACAATTTTTCGAATCGATTTTTTTCAAATTCCTCAAAGATACAAAAAGAATAAAAAAAACAGTGACTTTTGTAGCAAAAACTGGTACTGTATTTTCTTAACAACCCTGCAAACCATTTTTTCAGAGTATTCTGAATCGTAGAGAAATTGTAATGAATTCGTAAAGATCCCATACGATTTTTTGCCGAATTTTCTAAAATGAAATAAACTATGCACACTTCCATTCTTTCACGAAATTTCAGAAGAAAATCGGTAAAGAAATGAAAATAATGCTGCTATGTGAAGAATTTCTTGCAAAGTTTTTTCAGAATTTTCTTTCGTTCGTGTCAACCACTTCATATAATTTTCTTTGTAGATTCGTAAAAAAATCGTTACAGAAATCAGATACTCCTAAAGATTTCGTGCGATTTTGTTGAAGAAGCAAAGATGATAGGAAAAAAACGTTTATCCTCAACTTAACCCCAAATTACAAATGCAGTTGTTGTTGTTCAATAGCTTAAAAGCTCCACAGAGTTTGGGGAGATGCTGCTGTATGGATAGTCCTTTTCAAGATATACATATATCTGTATAATTCGGTTACATAGACACGAGTCTCACTTATAACCAAAGAATATTCAACCAGGTAGAAGTGATTTTGACAGTTCTCTCTTTTGGGCTGCGATTAAAATGTCAAACAAAGAAACAAATATTTCAAATCGTATTAATTTTTTTTTACTTTTTGACATTAGAGTCAGTTTTATTGTCATTCGTACCTTGTTGAATATGTCTGGTTGTAACTGATGGCACAGTCGTCCATGTGGATATACATACATCCCTATGTTGTTGTTGTTGTTGTAACAGCATACAAATTCCCCAAAGAAATTTTGGGGAGTGTTGCTGGAGTGACAGTCCTTGGCCAGATATAAATCTGGGTCGTTCCGGTTACGTAGGCATCCCTATAAAGTTCTTTGCCTAACTTTACGTTCTAGAAAAAGAACATTCCAATTCTGTAACCGCATTGTGTCATCTTTTTCATAATCATGGGGTACACTCTGCCATCCAGCAGGACCAGGCTTCATTGCTGGTCTCACCACCATTAAAATAGTATAATTGTTCCTGGGCAGCAATGGGATATTTCCAAGTATTTTTCTACCATGAAAAGTCAGCTCGTAAAAAACTGTATTATTATACGAAACATTTATTCGTTCCGCCGAGAAATTATCATTTCACTCAAACTTTCCAAAACACAAAAATCACAACCAACCATTCTTATAGTAACTCTTGTTCAAGGTCAACAGTTGAAAATATAAATGCGTTTGGCTGTTGTAGATGCTAAATCCTAACATTCTGTTTGTTTTCTAATCTCATTGCAAAAATAACGGTAGTTTTTTGTTTAGTAGCATTTTAAATAGTAAATCTAGACTTTTTCACTCAAGCACAATTTGCAAATGAACTTAATTTGTTATAATGAATTATACATACATACATACATACTATATTCAAGTGACACTAAAATTAAACTATATTTTTTCTTTCTCGTTTTCTTTCTGTTTTTTCTTAAAAAAAAATCTTTTTTGAAAACTACAAACAAAAATTGTATGTCAACTAGGTATGAAGTATCCACAACTTGTATCGACGCGCGCGGTGAACGCCATATCCGATTGGTTAGTGTCCCGCTTGGAGCAGTTAGGCGTTGAGGCACCACAGATCTATACTAGACTTCTCCTATCTCTCTTACAATCGACTATTCAACTAAACGATCCAATTGAGTTCAGCAATTTAGAAGTAATTAAAAAAAAAAACACATTTTTTAAGTGAAAGTTTATACTTTAAGTCGATACTNTTAAAATAAAATTGTACGGGGTTGAACAGGGTTATAATATGGTTAGTTAAAGGATTTAAAAAATTAACACACATTTTTCGAAAACTACTAAAACCATCTAGCATAAGCTTTGAAAATAAACATAAATTGTACTTTTTGGCAATTCTATTTAAGATACACCTTATACCAGTTTCATTATGAATCCTTTAACCCATATGCATTGCCTGCGACGACGAGAGCACCCTGTGTTTTAAAATCCGCTAATAATTAAAACTTTCTCTTGCTTTTCATCTACTGTTACAGTCATTTTTTGCTAGTCGAAAAGGTGGAAATAGACGTTACCTTGACACCGACGCCCTCAAGAAATTCAATGCGGTGCAGTGTCTAAAGGATATTGTTTCCTCGGAACAAGAGGTATGTATAGGGTAAATATATTTAGATAACAGCTTAAAACCTTACAAAAAAAGCTCTCCGCGAAAATGTCAGAAGAAAATATAAAGTTCACCTATTACACAGGACCACATACAAATCGATGAAAGTTTCTCTTGTCCCCACTAGGTGTTTTATATGTTTTTGGGCGCGCTGAACACGGATTTCAAATCCGGTCTTCAGATTCGTGTTCAGAGCATTAGCACCTAACATTCGTACCTAGCTTGGTCAAGAACCTTTTATAGATTTTTTGTCCTGTGTTAAGTATCAATAGTAAAATGAGCCTATCATTATCGT